AATGAAACTACATATTTTATTGTCCTGAGCGGCTACGATAGAAATGAAGCACCTTATGACACCACATTCAAATTGAACGAGTTCACAGGAATAGTGGGGTGACAAATTGACACTTTGAGGGCTCTGCAGAAAATATGAGATAAAGTTTGGCGATGTTTATCGTTTAAAGGAAAGAGGGGCAACGATGATAGTGGACCATGAACACATGGCCATTTGATTTGATCAGAAAGTTGTTTCTTTTAATGCCCCTGTATTGGAAAGTTACTGAAAAAAATATTCAATCAAATTAAAATCTGTCTACTCTCTAGATCTACACGATTAAAATTTACCTTTGATTAGTAAATTACGGATTACTCAGTTTGGAATAGAAACCCGCGCTAAAGTTAGTGGAATCCATTCTCCTTAAAGAGTTTTTCAACCAACTTTTATGAGTGGATTCTACTCTAGTGAAGGACTTCCTGGAAGTAATCCCTTATGCAATATGATTCGTAGAAAAGGAATTAGTTTTCACTCCTCCGCATCACGAAAGATCTACGTATTTATGGAGAAACGCTCTTAAGTAGATCAGAGACCGAATTATCATTTATTATTTATCAATGTTGTTTTCTTCTTCATATACAGAGTAAGTACTTCATTGCGAGAAAAAAAATGCTTTTCAAATACACTCTGTATAGATACAATAAACAAAGAGCTTGATTTTTTTTAGAGGCTATAGAGACGGGGATCTTGAGAAAGATTATGACTCTATCATGGACAAAAATATAACAAATGAAGAAGTGTTCAGAAAAGCATGGGTAAACCGTCACGCAAAACACACATTGTCAAATTATCATTCAATAAAATCAGAGAATGTATACTATTATCTAGATCTATCATTATTTTTTAATTATTTTAAAAATAATACCATAAATTGGGGTAAACTAACATATTCCAACTTTATGAGCGACAGTGTATATTCTGTGAGGTTTTGTATTCACAAAACAAAGAAACTGATTATGTCATGCTGAAATTCGCATGCAGAAATAAAATGGCTATATGGGATTACAAACACATGTGGCATAACACTTTTTAGCCGATTTTCATCATATATAAATATGAGGGCATGTAAAGAGCACCATTTTTCCGGGGACATTACATCTGAAGTGAGTTGATTTCCATTCCTCTATATTAAGACATTGCCTACGTGTTTTTTTTTGAGCGGAGGAACACCCTTAATTAGCTGAGTGATAGATACATTAAATTAAGTTATCTGTTCAGTGGCGTATTGAGAGGGCACAGGTGTTTCTGGTGGGGGGGGGGGGGGGGGGGGAGGATTACTTCGTTTAAAGTGGAAATCCGTGCTAAAATTAGTGGAGTCTTTTCAAATTAACCACACACTTGGAGTAGAGTCAAAGCCAAAGGAAGCTTAAGTAATTTCAAATATAACACGATTCATTAAAAAAAAAAATGATGAGGAACATTCTTGATTAGCCGAGTGAATTTATAGCAGTAGCGGATCCAGGCGGGGGGGGGGGGCGTTAATTTTTTGGAGTTGGTCCCCCCCCCCAAAAATAAAAAATAGTGCTCATTAAATGTTGCCCCCCCTTAGAAATCCTGGATCTTCGCCTGATTTATAGGCACCCCTATACCCTTTTCACATCTATTTTTCTTAACCCCGGACTATCCTTAACCCCATACTATCCTTAACCCCATACTATTTTTTTTGCTGTTCACATCTATTTTCTTAACCCCGGACTATGTGCTTAGCCGGGGTTAAAAAATTTCACGCGATTCACACTACGTTCGCCTTAGCCCCGGACTATTCGATAGCTCATGAATATTAATGCTTTTGCTACCGCGCAAAGCGTTTTCCCTTTATTATTTTACCGATACAAATCAATAACCCATTTTTCATCCAATTCACTTGATAAATTTACCTACGTAAATATGACTGATAATGATAAATGCAATAAAAAATTATGAGCTACATGTTCTTTCACTATTTTTTTTAATCAATTTTATAATAAAGATTTTTTCATAATGACCTCTGCCTCGTAAAAGACTAAACGTCAATACAGAGAGCATGCATGCGTAACGTGAACTGCATGCATAGCGCGCGATAAATGCAAATTCACGACCACACGACCACGCTGTCTGTGATTGGCTGTTGCTTAGCCCCGCTTCTCCTTAGCCCGGTTCGGATTCACACTACGCAGCTTAGCACCACAATTGCCCGGCTAACCCCGCAATTGCCCGGCTAACCCTGCTATTTTGCAGGGCCAGATAGTCCCGTACTATTTGTGGGGTTAGCCCACTTTGGCAAAACGTAATGTGAACAGAAAGCCGGCTAAAATTACCCCGGGTAATTGGTGGGGCTAAGGAAGGAATTGGTGGGGCTAAGAGCCCCCTTAGCCCCACCTATTTCCCGGGGTTAAGCAATATTTGGTAGATGTGAAAAGGGTACTATAGTCTTCCCCAGGGCTGTGGCGCGTAGCGTAAGTTTAGCCTTTTAAGGAGCCATGGTGGCGGCGGAGAGGAGGGGGTAGGGGAGTCGGTAGTAGGAGTTAGGTAAATGAGATAGAAAACAAGGCCACCGAGTGGGGCAGGGGATGGGGTGAGATGACTTGGTATATTTGACAATGTGTGTGGGAGTGTGTGTTTGTTGGGGGGGGGGGGGATTAAATCATCTACATTTTAAGTTACTACCACCCCTCTCTCTCTCTCTCTCTTTTCCCCATTTTTGATGTTGTCCTCCATTTTTGTTAAAGGTTTACTCGCAATCAACAATTTGATAAGCCCTAGATAGAATCACAGGTCTAGTGAGGGTGTGACTCGTTCTGAAAATACAGAGACAAAGCTGACATCCCCACCCCAATCTCTCCCTAATTCCTTCCCCACCCTAATATTGACGCCGGTGCAAATAATGTGATGTTCAAAAAACCAATGCCCACAATTTTCATAACCATAATTGTCAGTGATATTGCATTTTGTGAAGCCTATCGACTCGAAGGGAAGAGGAAACCTGATAACATCTGAGTTCGATATTACACTGATACAAATTTATCATATCGAGTTTGATGGCTTAGTTTTTCATTAAAATTAAGCATACATGCATGTCACGTATGCTGCAATTTGTTAAATTAGTTTTTGCTCTTGCAGATGACAGCTTATATTATATGAAATTTGTTCATGTCAATATGCAACAATACATTTTGACATCAACGTTGAAACGAGGGCGCAAAACACAAATATAAGAGAGTGAGATAAAGAAAGAGTGTCAGAGAGAGAGAGAGAGAGAGAGCGAGAGAGAGAGAGAGAGAGAAAGAGAGGAGGGGGCAGATGGGCAGATACAGAAAGAGTCGATGAAATTACACACAATGAGACAGGGAGAGAGAGAGAGAGATGAAAAAGAAAAATGAAGGACGAGGGATACAGAGAATTTAATACCAATTAAAAGTACATATCATGTACATATATATTCCTTTAATTTCCTGAAAAATCCAATCAATTAAATTTGAAAGCTTATAATCTGTTGAAAGCTAACTTTGTGCATAGAGAAAAAAATTGAATTAAACATAGTCATTTCATTATTGTACGACTATCATGAAGTGATATCGGATGCATGGCCTTTTTTCAAAATTAATCTATCAAATATTTATAGGCCTTTGTATGCCTCAATGACGAAAAACATCATTTTCATTACCGGTGAAGCCCTAATTGCTTTGCGGGTACGATCACCAAGTGTGGTGGATATTTCATTATGTTGATTGAAATTGGTTATAGATATGGGGGAGGTATTTTTATCATTTTTCCAAGGTGAGGGAGGGGGGGGGGGGTGGTGGTTGGAGGCGTTCTAATCAAACAGAAAAGATAAACAAAGTGAGAGTCTAGGGCGTCAGCAGGTGCTTTTTTTTTTTAGGGGGGGGGCACTAATATGTGATGGTTTGGAGCGACCATGGGCGGTTAGAGACTAATAGATGACCTACTTTAGATTACATAGTAATAATGATAATAATAATAATCTTAACAATAATGGTCAAAATGATGATAACAGTGGAGTCTTTTAAATTCCCACTGCACTAGTTTGGCCAGGAGGGATTAGACCTCCCTGCATGGTCACCGATAGGTGGTTATCTCATCAAATCAGCTCTCCATTAACATAAGAAAATGGGGATCATGGGGGACCGGTGGTCACCGATTAGGTATTGTTTGCTATATAGAGGGTGCAAGTAGCTATAAATAGTGCAGTGGGGATTTAAGGCGCTCATGGCTGCGATGGTGCCGCTCCTGGCACTCCATTATTAGTGTAAAAAGGGATTTTACAGACGTGTATTAATCACATATGATAATTTATGTCTGAAGATCGACCATCCGTAAGACGTGACTTGGTCTCGAACTGAGGTCCGCTGAGTCAGCTTATAGGCAAAGACAGAGAGCTGACCGTGCCATGGACATTAATGCTAGAACAAGTCACATATATAAGACAAACACTAGACAAAACCATTTGTACCATGTACAACAAGAAAATTTATTTCATTCAAAATTTTCATTTCCACACACAACAAGAAATACTCATTTAGACATGTATCATTGCACATGTTGGTCACATGACTGGAAAATGTCAGGTGATCATTTAATACTAAAAAGAAATGGTCACCTAAAAATAGTGAGATGGCAAGATCTAAACTCCTTGACCTAAAAATTTATCTATTTCAAGACATGTATCACCTGGGGGTGTGATTCACAAAGACTAAGATCAACTTAATTTGGACTTGAACTATGGCAGGCCAATCATGCCAATGTTTGCTCTCTTAATTATGATCTTTAGATAATATATTTTCCTTCAATAATGAATTATCAAAAAAGGTAAAATTCTGTACATTCGTGACCACGATTTATACGTCCCTTGAGAAACCAATGCCAGGAATGGTTAGAGATACTAGTGGCATGAAGGCCCTGCCATAGTACAAGTCCAACTTAAGTTGATCTTAGTCTTTGTGAAACACCCCCCCCCCCCCCCCAGATATACTGATGTATTCCCTAATAAAAGGTGTTGTTTTCATTATATCACAGATGCACAGTTTTGAAAGCATGACATTTTGAATAGATAAACAATATCCCCATATATATTAAAAAAAAAGTCTGTTTGGAGCCAGAAGGGCATTAACTTACACAGGATTAACACACTTCTGAATGCAAACAGACCAAAAAATCTATTTTTTTCAGAAATAACTTACATAGCACATTGGACGGTTAGCTCAGCTGGTAGACAATTTCATATTGGAGGGTAGACATAATTCCATGAGAAATTCAATTTACAGTACCTTTTTTCAGAGGATATTTAGTCAACTGAATTTTCATCTGTATAATAGCTGTCTAAAGAAGTTTAACTCTCAGGACTATTTTGGATACATCAGCTTAAAGTGGGTGTAGCATGACGAGACTACGTGTCTTTCACGTGGCCTGACTCGGGGCCAATCGGGTATAATATGACTACGGACGACGTGATCACAGTATTAACGTGCATGCAACATACATGAAACCGAAGCGAGAGGAGAACTTCGGTCTGTTTTGCGAATGCTAGGGTGCGCTGACTGCAAATCAAGTCTATTCGTTTACGTGCAGTTGTCCAAAAGAAGTCGTAGATGGCGTTAACCATGCTACACCCCCTTTAATATCAAGTTTGATATGAACCCTCATCTCTCAGTCTGGTGATCTGACATTTGCTTCAGGCACTATTTCATCACTGCTATATGGTTAGAGTTAGAGTTTGGGTTGCAATTGTGTTTTTAGGTTCAATAATAGGCTCAGCGTTTATTAGAGTCGGGTGAAGTGTTGGGTCCAGGAGTGAAGTTGGGAAATCCGTCATAATCCAACATCATTGTGTGATTCAGCGGTGGTCACATGACTTGGTCACCTGATGGCTGTCAGGTGAGGAATGGAATCATCTGGCTGGTTTGGGTTGGTTGCCGAAGAAAGCCCAGACACACACAGCCCCAGAGACAAGCAATGCACTCCTGCACAGAAGACAGGAGAATAAACACTATGAACTTGGCAGCCAATGTTGTGAATACTCCAATTACAAAAATATACGTAACTGCCATTTGGCAAAGATGAATTAAATGAAAGAAACTAGAAATATCAAAACATGCTGTTTCTACTTGGAAAGTAAATTAAATATACAATGTTTCAAAACCTGCCCATAGCAATTGAATAAAAATATATGTAATGGACAATATATATATGGAAAGTAGAAAGTTGTAATTGTATATAATTTTCCACTTACAATAAAGCTAAACCATGAATAAAAAAAAAACATACTGAAAGTTACTATATCAATACGTTTTTAAAAATAAGGTTAATATCTCTATATGATGACATTGAGCAAGAAGAGTTTAACATGATATTTACATGACACAGTTCTACACAAAATCTAAATTCATCATTTGATCCCTTTCAAAAGTAATCATATTTCTAGTTACTTGTTGGAGTTTGCTCAAACATCTAGCCAATCATTTTTTTGTTTCTTTAAGCAGAACATCACATATTAAAAACTATGAAATAGAGACTGCACTAATGATCAACTCACCAAAGTCCTATTCTAACACGTTTGCTGTGGTGTAAGGGGCTATACTTGACCACAGAGAGTTTGTCGTGTTCTTTGAAAGCTCGCATGATATCTTTGCTTCTGTTAAAGAAAAGCATAGAAATATATCAATTGAGTAATCTCAGTACCGGTATACTGATTAGATTTCTCATATGACAAAGTGAGATATAGGCTCTGATATCTTATAGGATAAAGTAACAAGAAGAGAATGAGTATCACTTTCCCTGAAAGCTCTCATTATCGTATATTTGCTTCTGTGTAGGAAAATCATAGAAATACATCAATTCACTATTCTCACTATACTGATTAGATTTCTTATATGACAAAGTGAGATATAAAGGCTCTGATGCCTTATAAGATATAGTAACAAGAACAGAATAAGTATTATTTTTTTCCTTGAAAGCTCTCATGATACCCTTGCTTTTGTAAAGGAAAGTCAGAGAAATATATTCATTCACTATTCTCAGTATACTGATTAGATTTCTTATGTGACAGAGTGAGATATAGGCACTGATGTCTTATAAGACTTAGTAACCAGAACAGAACGAGTATCAATTTTCCTGAAAGCTCTCATGATATCTTTGTTTCTGTGTAGGAAAATCAGAGAAATATATCAAAGCACGGTTCTCAGTATACCGATTAAATTTCTTATTTGGCAAAGTGAGATATACGGTAGGCTCTGACTTTTATTTTTTATTTTTTTAAATGTTTTTTTCCCCTTCTGACTTTAATATCATAAAGTAACAAGAACAGAAACTGTCCCTGAAAGCTCTCATGATATTCTTGCTATAATATGGCCCCTCTGTATACAACAATCATAGAAATGTGTCAATTCATTCCTCTATGCATGTATGTCCGATATGACATACTGACAATCACTGAGATATTATATTGCAATTTCTTTGAGATATATACTTTGATGTTTTAGAGACAAGGTAATACTTTTTTTTAGATATACGTTTTGATGTCTCACATGGCACAATAAGTATCATTGAGATGTACATGTTTTGATGTCTCAGTGATGACGCAACAGTCATCAAGCCATACTCTTTGATATCTTTTATCAACTGCTCTCTTCACGTTATAATAATCATTGTAATATAATCGTCTGATCTTATACAACGACATATTGAAATCATCACTGGAGACTGCCTTTTGGCTCAGATCATACGCCTGTCTTCATCAGCTCGAGTTTGCCAAATAACCTGCTATTTTCAGACTCGGGATATTATCCCGAAGCTCAAAATTGCGTCTTAACCAGACCGATATGCTCATCACAACCTAGCTCAGACAGGCACAAACTAGCCCGGACAGGCGCAAATTAGCCTGCTATTTCCCAAATAGCGGGATATTTGGAAACAAGACCAAGATTTCTCAGGATATTTTCTTGACCAAATATCCTGATAATTGCAACTGCAGGCTGATGAAGACGCAAATTAACTGGTTAATTTGCGATCGGGATAGTTAAAATAGCGGGTAATTTGTCAACTCGAGCTGATGAAAACAGGCCTATTGTGTAAGACTCCTTATATGATTGATCCTATCAGAGAGAGAGAGAGAAAGAAATATATGTACCCACCCTCCAAAATGTGCTACTGCCAGCAGAGCGTGTCTTCTGTCAATGACCTGTACATCAACAGAGCTGTAAGCACCAAACACCTGAGCAAGCTGTAAAATAAAAGAATTGGTAACACAAAATGTGAACAAGAAATACAGTCATGAGAATTTCCTAAAATGCAAGGAATATTGATACGGTTCAATTCTACACCTCAACTAACACAAGTCCAAAGTATTGAAGGGTGTAATCTGCAGCAAAATAACCAACAGGTACAACAAAAGTGAAGTGTATAATCACTCCTAGTAAAACTTTATGATATGCGTCGGTCAAACGGACATAGAGAAGAAAGTAAAAAGGAGGCAAAATCCTGATATATTGACCATGGAAACATTTGCCACATGAAACTGTCAAGAATTTTGAACATTAACCATTTTATGGCACAATATTTTCCACCATAAACGCAAATTTAGTGCTGAAAAACAAATTCAATATTCCATGGCATGAACTTTTAAAATCTGGATTATGCATGAAACTCATCCAAATTCATGAAAATGAAAGTTTGAGATATTACAGTAATCATCACATCTTCAATTTCCCAATGACTTTCCTAATATAGTTTAAAAAGATTTGCTGATCGGTTTATAGAAGGTAAACCAGACGTTCATCACTAACCTTGACCCCATCCAATGACTGGCTCAGCTTCTTTGAGGTCACATGTAACCATTCTGGTCTCCTGCTCTGTGGGTCTGTCCCGGTCAGATTCTTGGTTCAAAAAAATAAATAAAATGAAATAAAACATCATTGAAAACTTGCCGATGAAAACATTGATATAAATATTACCTGCCTTTGACAGACTGGAGGATATATTTGTTTTCATTTGGGGGTTCGCATTTTTATCATATCTCTTCAGACAGCTCAACTTCCAATTACCTTGACTTTTGCATGGAGAACATCTCTAGTCAAATTTGCTTTTGTATACACAATAATATAGTTTATATTTTTATTGGAGGTGATCACTCAGAATTTTGTATAAATATTTATAAAGTATCATCTTGATCATCATGAAGTACTATTTTTATGCCTTAAAGGTAATACAAAGTTTTGGTATGGGGACATGAATTTGGTTCAAATGAACATATTGGAAGCATATGCGGTCCTACAATATTCAGTAATCGTTGTTGCGGTTGAAATCGAGTCTAAAGTTATGAAATTGTAAATAATAAACTCTTTATGTTGTATAGCTCCCTCTCAAGGTCAAGATAATAATTAAGCTATAAAACAATGCTTATCGACTAAATTCGACCAATTACCTATTTCCGTTCGGAAATTATATATCACAACTACATATACTGAGATTTTCATGGATGCAGCTATCGTTGTACGGCCGTAGGCGCTATTTGAAATGTATCAAAATTTACCGGGAGCACCGGTAAATTTGTATATCCAATTTTTCTCGAAAGCAGAAATGTTTTAGGGGCTAAATTTTCTAGTGCTTATTATACATCCACAGGGGCATCCAATTATATCGAAATTGTAAAGAATCACTATCCACCCAATTTTCAAAATTTACCAAAACTTTGTATTACCTTTAAAGATCATAAAATTGAATAGTAAAGGAGGGTGAAAGGGAGTGACTTCAGTGGATAACTTATAGAGGTCAGTAGATTTTACAGATTGTAGATTACTAGGGAAAATGCATGCATTTTGCAGCCAAGCAAAAAAATACTTATTCTTTTTTGCTGTTATGAGCTAATGTTCATGATTTTGTTATTATTATCATTTTTGTACAACAGGGCCTCATGGAAGACGACCATTATTGGTGATAATGAGTCACCCTGTCTAAATATCAGAAATAAATAAATAAATACGAGAGGAATGCAACTGCATCTCCACCATGCCTCTGCCCACATTTTTATTGATCAATGACAGATGGAGAGACTACCCAAAACATACTGCCTCCAGCACCACGTTAGGTAGTGCAGCCATACAAATTCACATCACTGACAATACTATAAATAGCTAATTAATGAGCAACCCCTTCTTTGCTTATTTTGATCATTTTTTAATCATCGTAATCATCTATGCATGATATAGGGTGCGTTCAAGCAATTTCTTGAAGCTAGAATCACAAACATGAATCACAAATCAAAACGCCGTTACAAAACACGGTTACTGCGGGAGATCGTTCAAGCGATTTTCCATGAACGCTGATTCTCGCTCATTTCAAGCCCAGCCACTGCGCATCACACTGCGCAGTTTGACCCAGGAAGTATAGGTCATCTTCGGCGCGCACTTTCTGAATTTGTTTACGGTCGACTGTCAGCCGAACCGGTGGAGGGCCACGATAATGACATCCTAGAATCATGATTGAGATCTCTGTTGCGTTCAAGTGATTTTGAGCAGAATCACGTTACAAAACGCATCTTTTTCAGCGTTTCATTTTTTTTTGCATTTTAAAACATGTTTATTTTTACGAATGACGGAAAATTGAGAACCGCATTTCTAGGGTTAAAAAAGTGTCGCTTGAACGCATCCTCAGACGTATATACTCACCACATGATTGACAGCTGCCCGAATGATGTTGATTTTGTTTACATAGTCTTTGAGCTTCCACATGTATTCTCTGAAGTCAAGGGGTCGACTTGCCATGACACTAGATAGAAAGTAATAATAATAAGAATAATATGGATATTTATATAGCGGCGGTATCCCCCAGGCTCTGATGCTTTACACATATTACCCTGGTTACAGCTGAGCTGCCAAAGTAACTAGAGTCAAGCATATCAGGTACCCATTTACACCTGGTTTGAGAGTGGCAAATGTAGATTAACGTCTTGCCAAAGGACATTAGTAAGAGAGAGAGAGATAGGGATTTTTTTATATAGGTCAAGGACAGAGACACCAAAAGAATTAATTGTTACATCTAAAATTCATTAAAAAGTAATTAATATAAGGCTTAATATGTGGAGGTGTCATAGTACAGTGGTTCAGTCACTTGACTTTCAATAAAAGTATTGAGGGTTCCAATCCCAGCCTAGCTCGAATGTCCTCTGGCAAGACGTTAATCCACTTTTGCCACTCTCCACCCAGGTGTAAATGGATACCCAACATGCTAGAGTGCTACTTATTTGGCTGCTCGGCTATGACGTCAAGGCATGACAGACTTGAAGGCTATGTAAGAACTTAGAAGCCATCACTATCACTATTTCCAATAATATTATGGTGTTTGTTTGTGAAGCTTTCAGAAATGTGTTGAACAAGGAAGGACTTCTGTTTGTTATCCATATTTCAAATCTCTATTGGACTTGCACTTCAACAACTTTTAAGGCTGATTACATTTAACAATGTAAACCGCAGCAGATATGTATTATTTTTACAACCGAAATGTAATATGCTGCACATTTCTGTATCTTATAATACACAGAAAGTGACTATTTCAATTTGAATAATAATAATTCAGACATTTAAAATGTACAACATATCCACTCAAATGGTGCTCAAGGCGCTATCAGTAAGTGCTTACAATACAGCAGAACAAAAGACAAAAGATATATAGCCAAAAATACTTGAAATTATCAAACATGAACAACACAATTTAAAATTAAAAAATTGCTTACTTGATATCCTTGGCTGTGATGTAATGTGCTAGCCTCAGGAAAACTGAAATTAAAATAATAAACACAATGTATTAATATCTTAAATGTACAGTGTACTCGATACGTACAGGCATAGCAGTTTGTTCAGCTCAGACAAATGCTACATAATGGAAAAGCACCAAGTTCTTCTGCAAAATTTTGAAACATAAAAACAAGAAAAAGGAGAAGTTATAAAGTTACATAACAGCAAAGAAATACAATGTCCCAAAGAAAAAGGTAAAACAATGCAGAGGAAGAGGATGGGGGGGCAACAAAATTACAGAGAGGGAGATAATTTTACGTTTACGGAAAAACAAAAGGTATTCTTACCATATCCAGCTGCATACGCATCATAGCCTGCTTCGTGTAGGGTCCCACCATTCACTGAAATTTTACAAAAAGAAGAAAATCCAGACAAACTTATTTTTAAAGGGGGGTGTCACATCAATTAAACAACAAATTACAATCTGGTTGGTAGCACTTTGTATTGACCGACATACAAGTGTATATTTTGTACTTAAACTGTAGAATTAATAATTTACTGTACTTGCTACTGTACTAAATCAAATAACAGAAGAATTTGTATGATTTAATTGGCAATTAAAATCAAAACAATGAGGACAATTACCTCATCAAAACAGTACATTTTACATATAGATGGTAGAGTGGCAGTTAAAGAGGATGTAAGAATACATGCCCATATGTTTTAAGAGTGATTATTGCAAAATATTCAAAATTGAAAACCATCATGCATGAGTATGGTTGAAGAATGACATAACAAGATTAAGTAATGTGCTCAGTCAATTTAATGACTAAATTTCATCAAATTTTTCACTGCTACATCTTCAACTCTGCATTATCAGTGAGACACTCTGCAGTGATTCACTGCAAGTCTAGAAACCTAGCATTTCACTTTGATACTACCCTATAGACAAAATTAATATTTGTACGCCTGCCAGGGAATGAAAAATGAAGCATACTGTTTAATTCTTACCATATTTGTCAAACCCTGACCCATGGACGATGTGAGGAGAGTGAAGCACAATCAGGATTCCTTCCTTTCTGTTTCCAAATAAACATGAAAATAATTCCAGTATTATCTAATGTAACAATGATAATGAGGGACATTTCTTCCCTTGCACAAGGCAGTAGCCACATTGTGTCTCACCCACCTGTGACTAAATTACATGACTTTTACTGAAGTGCATCCCTGGCCCAAGTTTGGTTGCACTTGAAACAAAATTTGATGAATGAGACAAAAAAACATGTTCACACATTTGACCTTGGAAGAAAAAAACACACAAAACAAACACAAACAAATACAAACTTTATAATGAACATGTTTTAATGTTTCGTTTTTCAAAGATACATGTATCAAGATTCAGGAATAACTCAGCCTTTATCCTAATTGGGATGCATACCTGAAGCTAATTCAGAACTTACGTTGAGAGGTTGTCTAGCAGGGAACCTAGGCTTGTGTTTTGGACCGGTAGGCCAGCATCAATTAGATTCTGCAAGAAAAGACAAATATTGATTGATAAATTTTCAGGCATAGCTCACCTCACAAGTAATAAGACTTTAAAGTGCACCATTCACCAACATATATTTTGTTGTGTGTGTTAGTAGTTTCATTTTGTTATAATATATTTAAATTCTGAGATTATATATTACTTTTGCTGAGAGATATTACAAGTTAAAAATACTCTCAATTGAAATAAAAGCAACTTATGAGTAGACGACTTGATGCACCCGTATGTGCTCGCCTAAACTAGGGCCCGCATGGAACCCAGGCCTTACTTACGTTACGCGTGCGGTTATATGCCGTTCTTTATTTTCTTCATACTCCTTTATCCATTAGCCCATAGAATACAGAGTAAAATTTTGTGAGCTTGATTTTATAGTAGATTCTAGCTGCACATATATGATTTTAATTAGGTGAGAGGTACACTTTAACCTCGGTATTAAATGATCAATATTTCTTGATGGATGCAGAATGTAATATCACAAAGGTAATCAAGCAATAAAATTACTACCGGTATTATTTCTTTATTTCAACCAAAACTTGGGGTTGGATTTCATATATAAACAAAAACACAAACAGATGGATACGATCATACGATGGTAGAAATAATGTACACCAAGTCAAAGAAACTGTTGAGTCTGATACATAAATTTATGAATAACATTTAATGTTAAAATAATGGAATGTAGGTAGGAAAATGTCAGCATTCATTGAGAGCAATACACAGATATTGATATAAAAGATTAAAAAGACTGGTACTTTACCCTCCTCATTTCAAATGACAGGTACTTTGTGTCATATATCTTTGGAAATAGCTCATTGAGTTGGACCTTGAAGGTTGAATAACTGCCTGGAATGAAGGAAAGCGATGGTAGATTTGCTGTGTAGTCCCATTCATGAAGGATTGTATAGATAATAACAGGACACTATTGAAATATGTAAGGAAACCAATCATCGACAAACTCAAGAAGTGTGGAGAGGACTGTTATGTTGTACTATTAATGTCATGGAAAACACATTCAGTGGAATCTCATATTATTTAGTACATCAGACAGGAATATCAATGCATCTTAAAACCTCAAGTGTGAAAAGAGGATTTGAAATTATGTTGTACTTTTAAAACATGCCAAAACACTGTAAGATATAATGGTATTGTAGAACACCAAACAAGAATAGAAAAATATGTTTTTAAACGTGTTCTTACGTGGTAAAGGATTGTGAAACTTCTGGAAAAACAGCATCAGATCTGTGAGAAGATTATGACCTATAATGGGCTGAAAAATGCATAGATAGGATTTCAGAAAAGTCAAAATTATTTGTTATGCTGTTTTGGGGGAGCAATCAGGTCTAATGATATATCAATTGAAAACTATTCATGTAAACTACTCGATAAGAATAACTTCACACTATGGTTCAATAGCAATTAAGAATATGGATATAAAAGTACCGGTAAAGGACTTCATGAAGAAAACACTATTCATATTTTACATATTACTTCTTCTTTGCATACAATGCATGATAGTATTCTTGACATAAACAAATGGTTAATGTTTTACTTAGATTAACCCTTAGAAAATTTTAATATGATGTTGAAAGGAATAGAAACTATATTTTCAAAGAAAGGGGAAGTAGTGATTGCTGAGAGGCGGCACTAGAATCGATCGTCAAACGTACCTTTTTACTTTCCACCAGGGCACGGAAGACTGCTGTGAAACCCAGCAATTTATCAACAACTCTGAAACCAAAACACCAGTAAAATGAGGAATAGTATTGACTAAAAGATTAATTGTGTTAGGACAGTTTCTCTCAAAAGACAGCCTCATTAGCAGAACTAAAGGTAATCTTTAAGTCAGCTCTTCTCAACCTTAATTAACTCAAGGCCCATTTTGGATGTCAGAAATGTTTAAAGAGGCCCATCTTACAAAAACATTATAGGCAACCAAAAAATTACAATAACACATGACACAAGAAAATAGAGAATAAACTCTGTAGTAATAATATGTGTTTTGCCACTGTCAGTTGTAATGCTACTACTACACTACTTACCCCCGATTTTGTGTGATATAAATCTTTGTGATTTTTTTTTAAAGAAATGCAACAGTTTATAGCTGAATTCCAGCTCTGTCATGTAAGATCAGACATGTTGAGAAGCACTGCTTTAAATAATACTGATACTTTGTTCACTTAGAGAAATACAAATACTTTGTGCTTGTATAGTAATGCTGATATTCCTTTTGGTATTGTAATACTAATACTCAGTTTTTGTATAGCACATATCACATTAGAGTCCCTATGCTCTTCCAAATGTCTTTGGAAATTATTATGTTTGCTGTAAGTGGAATTTCTATTACACCTTGTTATTCAGTAATGAAATGTAATAACCATAAATGAGACATTTACTAGACTCATGCCTTTAGTTCAAATTCTTGTTTTTTACCTGTGTCCTAATTTGACTTGATCCTCTTCTAATCCTTCCTTGTTTTCAGTTGCCATTACTCTGACCTTCATCTAATAAAAAGAAGTAGCAGGTAGGAAAGAGTTCAACAATTAAAGTAGCTTAGCTCAACAAAGTGGCACAAAGAGGCTCATTCATGAAGCAAAATATGTAAGCATAGAAAATCACCATTTTAAAACAAAGAGGTAGAACATGAGATTAATAGAGATTAGGAAATGGAGAGTTTCAACACATTGATTTTATGTTCAATAGCTATTAAACTTTCATTCAGGTATGTCAAAAAATACTTGAAAACTGTAGTAAATCCATGTCCACATTGCGACTTTTTCTTCCTGTTTAAAATGTCAAGATTTCCTTCATCTTCCAGCCTTGCTGAAAGAATGTTCTTTCACTTTTGTTGGTCTCTCTCTCTCTCTCTCTACCTCAACCAAGTGTACAAGTCCTTTTTCTATTCAAGAAAGAACATTCTCTCACTTTCTCTCTCTCTCTCTCTCTATATATCTAAACCAAATTTAAAGTAGTCTTTCTCAGGATGAAACAAGACAAAAATACCCCACCCCCCCTCTCTCTCTCTCTCTCTCTCTCCCCTTTCTCTCTCTTTCACACTCCTTACTGATGTATTCTCGTTACATTCTAACAGTCCTCACGACTACGCATGGTGAACTGTAAACTCGACCAGCTTAGGAAACTTACTTGCCGTGTGGTGGTAGCATCAAAGCAAGTGTTGAGAAGGGGAAAGGAGTCTTGAATAACAAGCTGCAACAGAAGACCATCCAGTTCTTGAGTTTTCAATAAAAATGAAAGAAAGAAAGAAAAAAATATGTGCAAGGAATTTGTGGGTCATTCTGAATAAGATAGTGCTACTATGATGCCATAGTAATAATTTTGATAAAAATTGTAAATTTAGATTTGTTAAACGCACATATCCACCCAAGGCTGACTAAAAAAAATCAATAAATTACATATATGAATAATAATTTGTATGATTATAGCAATCATCAATTGTAGTTTGTTTTTTCTTCTTTTTTTTAGAAAAGTTTTAATGTTCTTTGTGAAGATTGAGATTGATGCACTTGATTTAACATATTAAAGCAGAAAGGGCATCAGAGAGACACACACAACAGCTGCAAAGATCTGCCATCCCACAATCTCTTACTCCAAACTTTTTAAAACTGGTGAACATTCTCAGATCAAAGGCCTCATCAGCCTTGTACATTTCCCCCTCTCCAAGTCTCCATTATATTGGAAAAGTAGCTGAATGGGTGCCTGAATGGTCTGGAGTTTAAGCCCCTCTGCACTACTAATAGCTACTTGCGCCCTCTAAATAGCAAACAATGCCTAATCGGCGATCATTGATCCCCATGGTCCCTTTTTTTCTTATGTTAATTGAGAGTTGATTTGATGAGATAACCACCTGTCAGTGACCATGCAGGGAGGTATAATCCCTCCTGGCCAATCTAGTGCAGAGGGGCTTTAAGAGACCATGGAGAGTATCTTGTACTCGAGTCTTTACTGGATAGGTAGCTTGTGAAAAATCTTGTAGAATGCATGAAAATGCATACATGTGTGTTCCTGCCAATACTCAACAGAAAAAATTAGAAATCTCTGAAAGCCAAAAATAAGAGTCATTCCTCCAAAATAGGAATGGGTGGTAGCTATTAATATACATCACTTCCCGCATAATGGGTGTATATGATGTATTGGACATTTGTTCTAACCTTCGTATTGTCCAACCGTAAGCTCATCTCCTGCGTGTGCTTCCGACAGCCATTCAGAAATGGTTGATATTGCCTCTTTCTGCAAATCCTCATCCATATACCTGTAGGTATTGAATTATTGGAAAGTGGCTTTCATTTTAATCTAACTTTGCATTACAATAATAACATTTATAATCATGAATATGTATTTATGTCCCCTAGAGGAAAAGTTTTAAAAATCCAATTCTCCAATACAAATTAGCAAAGTATTTGTCCACAAATATTTCTTTTAAGCGGGACTGCACTACTTGTAGCTACTTATGCCCTCTATATATAGCAAACAATGCCTAAGCGGTACATGTTGGTCCCCCATGATCCCCCTTTTTCTTATATTAATTGAGAGCTGATTTGATGAGATAACCACCTGTGAGTGACCATGCAGAGAGGTCTAATCCCTCCTGGCCAAACTAGTGCAGACAGGCTTTAAGCAACTACTTTGTACTACAAAATGTCTAGCAATACCACAACAAACCCAGTCTTGCTAAATTAAAGAAGAAAATGTATCCTAAGCCCTTATATGTATCTTCCTTTCAAGAATAAGTTACAAACAGAAACCTCTTTACCTGGCAAGTTGAACTGGCTTTGTTTGTGCCTGGCTTCTCAATTCTTCTTCCTCGTCTCTAGTTAGGTAGCTCACTCCTTCATAGAAAAGCTGACAAAATGATTGTATAAGGATACTAGTTTTGCAGCTTACACTTAAAGCACACATTATTTGATCTTACGTTCAGTGATGTATCCACTAGACTACGCCACCATATAGGCCTTGTAAATGACCAGTAGGCCAGTAGGCTTGCAGAAATCGAGGACTACCTTCCAGAATCTTAAGAGCTAGCAAATGTACTATGGTGGTTTTGCTTTGAGTTCTCCTTTGCTCTGGAATTGTCATCATGCTATTTGGAATATTTAAAATTCACTAGATGGTTTAGTCTAGACTTCAATGGAAGCTAGGGTTGTAGCACTCCTGACATATCACAGACAAAACAATGAAATAAATCAAACATTTAATCAGAACAAGATACTACACATTCTACAATGCAATCTGAAAGACTGTTTGGATATCGACCAGTCCATCTGATATTAAAAGATAATTTTATCTCACCTTGTTAAAGTTAAAGTTGTGTTTGCAAAGGAACTCAATACTGGATGCCTGCAAAGCAGAAAAATCATATAATAATGAGAAAATGAAGAATGAGGTGTCATGCTGGTTTTTGATAGGTTTCAGCTTCTTGGCTTATCTTCACAATGAAGGTTTTATGATCTCGTACATTAACATAATGTTGATGTAATTAGTTTCTTTAACTACACATCTACAACTAGGTTTCAGCTTCTTGGCTTATCTTCACAATGAAGGTTTTATGATCTCGTACATTAACATAATGTTGATGTAATTAGTTTCTTTAACTACACATCTACAACTAGGTTTCAGCTTCTTGGCTTATCTTCACAATGAAGGTTTTATGATCTCGTACATTAACATAATGTTGATGTAATTAGTTTCTTTAACTACACATCTACAACTAGGTTTCAGCTTCTTTGCTTATCTTCACAATGAAGGTTTTATGATCTGTAACATTGACATAATGATAATATAACTAGTGTCTTTAACTACACATCTACAACTGGTTAAAAAAAAGATTCAATGCATGTTTTTATAATTTTGATGACCATGTTTTAATACCTGGCATGTGAACCTTGCATCCAAAGAGGATATACTTCTTGGAAAGAGATGAAAGTTGTACGTGTGTGCCTCATAACTGAAAGTAAACAACAGAAATAACAATGTAAACAACAGGGAAAACCAATATTCTACTTATGCGATGGCTGATATGATTTAATCAACAATGTGGTCTTTTTTTTTTTTTTTTTTTTTACTGTAAGAGGTTGTTTTCATCAACATCAAAACTTATGACTACCGTTTATTAATCAGCCGAAGACAAACTTTGAGAAAAAAATCTAAACTTTTCTTTACCCCCCCCCCCCCCCAGGTTTGTACTACCGTATGCCTTATTTCACTTGATTTTGAAAATCATACCTTAGTTTTTTCAAGACAACAAATAATAATAAGACATGAATTAATACTCACGTGTTCGTATTGGGTACCTTGACAAATGCAGATACTCCTGTTAAAAAAACAAAATATAGTGAGAGGGGGAAAAAGAACACTGTCATATAGAAGGGTCTCATCACCTACCAATAGTTTTTATAGGGTCCATGGTTTTTAGGAAGCGAAATGTTAGATGAAATTGTCTTCCTTTTTTTTTATTAATCCAATAAAGCTAATCTTAAGTTTGAGTCAGATTTGTTTTCTTTTTTTTAAATAGAGAACCTAGCACCAATCAACAACACAAATTTTGAAATGGTGAACTATGATGTAAAAAGTTTGTTTGGACCAGCAAAAATGAGAATAAACTAGTACTGGAAAACACAACTCAAATCTCTCTCTCTGTTTGTCTTTTCCTGTCTGTCTGTCTGTCTGTCTGTCTCTCTCTCTCTCTCTCTTTCTCTCACTCGTTCTCTCCTTCTATTCTGCCCCCCCCCCCCTCCTCCTAGTTTGTACCTCACCTAGCTGGCAGATGGTATACTGCATGGCCATCCTCCGTAGCTTCTCATAGCGTTGAGCTGGGGTGTCGAACAGACTGTTGATGTCACTCTGCGTTGCATGAAGGCCGGTGAATTCTGTATCGATTGCTGTAAGAATGGAGAGAGGATGTCATTTGATGTCAAAACAGCAAAATGATGTAACAAGAGAACAAGGTTAATGGTTGTTTAATTTATATTTTTTTTGGTGGCCGATTTGAAGATTGTTTTTAAAAATGAAAATATAAATCTCTTCTTGTTTAAGTAATTAGAACTCTATTGAGTAGATCTAATGATGGTCCAGTATATTTCATCTTGGACATCTTATGTAGTAATAGGACTATAACCATTGTCATCATAAACTTGTAAAGTTGTTGTTTGGGAACCCCGCTATGGAGGTCACCCCAAAGTGGAAGCGCTCCCCAGCTACTCTGCTCCCCAGCGGCTAGCAGAGGCAGAGAGCTATGTCATCCTCATCCTCCTTATTAACATCACAATAATCATTATCAATCAGTGATTCATCACCATCACCACAGTATTCTTTATCATCCTCCTCATCATCATCGACATCGTTATCAACATGTACTAGGCCTACCTACTAGATCACCACAAAAAGATTATCTAGAGTAACAGTCCACTAACATTAAAATTAGCACGTGGGACTGGCTGCAAGAGTATATTCCAAAAGTACAAGTAGAGCTATTCCTTATTAACTCTTGACTCAAGAATCATGTAAATTTACATACCAATAAAAGAGCTATCTTGAATACTTTGCAAAATGTTCTTAGATTCAGAACTATGACTGCTTCGATTTATTTCCATTTTGATCTGGTTGACGGCCTGATGTGCATTGCAGGATTCATACAGCGTGCAGCAGATTTGAAGCTGAAGTACCTAACTAGCTGCGCTGACACTACCAGGCATCGCCAGGCCCCCGGCCCCCGGCGGCCCAGCGCTGCCCGCGCCTAGACTGCGATCGCGCGACACATCAGGCTAGCTCGGCGTGGCTGCGTTAGCTAGCACCGTAGCAGCACTTCGCAGCTGAATTTGACTTTCGACCAATCATCGACGGCATAAAGATTAGGAATGACCCCCCCCCCCCCCGCCACCAATCTGGTTTGCGCGGGGGGGGGGGGCGGTAAAACTTAGATTGAAATAAGAAGTAAAGACTGATCTGTCTCAGATTAAATTTGCTAGAATAAGTCAAAATCATTATCAGGGCCTTGTGGACCCCTCCCCGGCCCCACCTATAATGCAAATCTTAGAAACAGGCCCAGAACTGAAAGAGCATTATTATCTTGTATTGACGTTCAGAATAAAGTTAGAGTGACGGCGAGGGGGAACATATTGAAAGAATGAGTGAATGTTATATAGGCCCCAAAGTGCTATATAGCACGCGAGATGTCACTGTTCAACAACAACAACAACAAATATAAAAATTACCTCGCATGATAACTTTTTTAATATGCATTAAACTTCAAATAAACCATAGAACTGATCTAAGCAAGGCCTACATAGCTAGAGAGAGAGTGTGTGTTTTACAAGAGCTAGAGACCTTTGTCAACAAATGAGAAATGTAGGGTGACGGATAATTCAAAGAGGGATGGGGCACCTTTCCTACTTTTTCAAGGGGTAATTCCCCTGAAATTAGAAGCAAAGACTGATCTGTCTCAGATTAAATTTGCTAGAATATGTCAAAATCATTATCAGGGCCTTGTGGACCCCTCCCCGGCCCCACCTATATAATGCAAATCTTAGAAACAGGCCCAGAACTGAAAGAGCATCTTTATCTTGTGACGTTCAGAATAAAGTGAGAGTGACGGCGGAGGGGGAACATATTGAAAGAAAGTAAGACAAATATTGAGTGAATGATATAGGCCCCAAAGTATATAGCACGCGAGATGTCAATGTTCATTGTTCAACAACAGGCAAAATTACCTCGCATGATGCTCTTACGGGCCCTTTTCGCTATCTCTATTTCGTCCATCGACTATCACCCCCCCCCCCCCCCACTAGGTATGCGTCGACTGCCCACAGGAGAGAAGGAGATATAAAGAGAGAGAGAGAGAGAGAGAAAGACAGACAGGCAGAGACAGAGCTAGGGATAGAAGAAGGGGAGGGGGAGAGGGAGGGGTAAATCATATCAAGTGAATTCTTTCCATAAAGCTCGGTGACACAATCTTGAAGAAGCGGAAACTGACACTTTTAGGCTCTGCACAAGTTTCAGGAATTCAGTTGTGGTACAGTATAAGATTACTGTGTCAACTTAAAGTTTATGCTTGCCCCGGTGCTTGCAGATTAGAGGACTATGGTGCCCGGACAACTAAAAAGATTGTACCTTGTCAAACATAATCGATTAAAAATACAAACAATTTATCGTAATCATCATCTTTATCATCATCATCATCATCATCATCATCATCACAAACATCATCATCATCATCATTACCGTATTCATTTAGGCCTAGTTTTGTGTCATTTCATAGGTGTGATTCATCCCCCATGCAGGGAATTTCATCAAACGTAAAACTGTAAATCCTTACACCGTTTGAAAAATCTTCTCCAAGCTGTTCTGATTTTCCCCTCTCTAATTTCTCCGGTCTACTCCTCTCTCTATATATACAGTAAAACAGTGGCGAATAATCGAACTAAAATTTTGAGGGGTTGAGGTATTAAGAATTTACATACTTCTCAAGGACCAGGAACACAATAACACAACCCCGGTATTAATAATAATAATAATAATAATAATACTCAGTTTTTGAATAGCGCTTATTAGAATCGCCAAGCGCTTCCAAACTTGGAGATTATTACCCCAGCTTTAGCTGTGCTGCCATTACGGCGCTCTATCATTCACAAAGAATTAATTCCTGCCATGCAGGTACCCATTTACATCACCTGGGTTGAGTGTGGCAAAATTAGATCAATGTCTTGCCAATTTTGCCATCAAAGGACATTATATAAGGATAATCTTTGCCATTTTGTGGTATTATAACTTTGCATTTCCGATGCCCTCGTGTAGTGGAGTAGCTATATAATTATGGGGAGGCGCAAGGGGGGGGGGGGGGACTTACTCTCCCAATTGAAAAAAAAAGAGGTAAGAGCGAGGGGGGAAATGAAGGAAAAGGAAAGTGACAGATTGCTCAAAAACGCTCTTCAAAGATTACAATGTTTGAATTAGTAACATGGGGACAACATAATAAGTCTTGAATAAAATTTGTTGTAAAAGATGCATGAACGATTATCGAAAATTTCTTTTCGATGATCCGAACTGCGTCACTGATGAAACTTTTACAGATAAAAAAAAAAATGAGATAGGAGTGAAACAAAGACGACATAATACAGGAACAGAGAAAGAGGGAGTATTTACGTGTTTCCGTTTTACTTTAACATGCAAGATTTTCCCCACAAATGGGGTATAGGGCTACATATCCCCTCAGGGCCTAGTCATTAGGACCCCTCAAATTTTGACCATCTATACAGCGTTTTTCAACCGGGGTACCGCGAGAGTACTTTAGTTATATCAAATTTTTTTTTGGAATAACATCAAGTTCATGGAAACAATTAGTGACTGCAAAATGCCCACATAATTATATATCATATCACTTTAGGTATTTTGATGAAGAAATGGCGTTCCAGAGATAGTAAAGCGTTTAAAAACGGGATAGTTTCAGCAAAGAGGTAATTGGTTTCAGACAAGGAGGTCCACAAATATCCCCATTGTAATGATGCTTGTTGTAAATATTACGATATTCTGCCCGAATATCGTCACGATTCGGGCATGGCGCTCGACTAACCCTATTTATTTTATTTTGTATATTAAACGATTTTTTTTTTTTACTACAACACAGTACCTAACTATTTTCCTTCGATCGCTTTACGTCTCCCAAAATTGGTAAATCGGGATGATTCCTGGCAACGAGATGACCAAATATATTGATAAGTCCATTTTTGCAATTAAAGTGCATTTTTGGGGGGGCTCAATCGCGATATTTGAGATTCAGATACAATATGTCGCAATATGTTCGGGCCCTCACGCGAAACTGTGCCCTTACGCAGATAATTTTATGTATACGAGGGAATGGGATGGGACACATTCAAATCCTCTTTGATGAAGTTTGAATTTGGGTGACGCGAAACTTTCAAACTCCTAAAAGAGTTCTGTTCACTGAGTCGCTGATCTACTAGCCCCCCCCCCCCCCGCCCTCAAAAAAAAAAGCAGTAAAGGGGGTAAAGATGGTTTGTATTTTTAACCCAAAATAACATAACATAATACAAACCTGAATTAAATCACTTATAAATTCCATTCAAAGAAAAGGAAATTAACAGGAATTAAATATAATACGTGCATATCGTGGAAATATTGTGAGAGGATGGGAAAGCGTGTGTGTCTTTAGTTATAGGGGTGAGAAGACATGAGCCCCTGAACGCTCGCGTACTGCTTGATGGGGGGGGGGGGGGGGGTATTTCTTATTCGACACCAGTGATTTACAAATGTTGCTGAAATGACATGATTTTATGGTATTTTTTCTTTTATGGTAATTTTTTTTTAAAGTCATGCCTTTATATGCGTTTGTTGGAAAATTAGAAATTCCCAAATTTACAGTCGGGCGAAAAATATGCTTATTTAGAAGCCTTCATGTCAGGGCCCGCAGAACGGCTGGGCTCGGGGGCTCGAACCCATTCACTTTTTGAAAAAGTATGTTACAGAGAAAAAGAAAGAAAGAGAGAGGGAAAATAAATGACCTGCCAATGTCACAAATGAGGTATCAAAATATGCTCATCTGACCGTAATTAAATGCCTAAAACGCCAGAGCTTACGGGGGCTCTGCCCCCTAGACCCCACCAAGGGCCCTAAGGCGGGTCCCTGGATGCTTATCTGACCGTAATTAAATACCTAAAACCCCTGAGCTTCCGGGGGCTCTGCCCCCTGGACCCCACCAAGGGTCCTAATGCGGGCCTCTGGATGCTCATAATTAAATACTTAAAACCCCTGAGCTTCCGAAGGCTCTGCCCCTTGGACTCCCCGCCAATTAGTGACCTGCCAGTTTCACAAATAAGGTATCTTAATATGCTTATCTGATGACCGTAATTTAAAGCCTAAACACCCTAAGCTTCCGGGGGCTCATGCCCAGGACCCCACTCCAATTTACGCTCTACCTGATCGTTAATAATAATACTCCACTTTTAAAAACGTTCTGCGGGGCCTGCATGTAAGAGTGATGGTGATGCAGATCTTCTTCTCCTCCCCCCTTCCGAACGTTTTGCTCATTATGCCACTGCCCCTGGAAGGTGAGCCCCCTGGAATGTCCCCCCCCCCCCCCATCCCAAACTGCTTCCGGCGCGCCTGGACACCACTGTCCTTGTATATCATATATTATTTGGCTCGGTCGCTTTGAACTTTGCATTTATCTTTAATCACACAGGCAAACCAAAATCTAATCGTAATATCCACCCCTATACTCTCATCTTTGGAGATATAGGCAGCTTTTCAATCACTATTTGTCCATTTTGGGGGGACTTTCCGAATTCAGGAAGAGGAGGGAAAGTATCCATGAATATTTATATGGTATAGAGCCCCCCCCCCCCCTCCACCATCACTCTTACCACCGTCGTCCCTATGGCTGAACTAGGGGCGGATTCAACCGGCGGTAAGGGAGGGGGCCAAATAGGGGTCCCAATTCGTGAGAAATTGCTTAGCGGTGAGTCAGCGAGCTGGCGAATAAGCAGGGGGGGGGGGGGGGGGGGGTGGGGGGGGGGATAAGGAGCACTATTGTTTCTCTCCAAATTTTGTGAGAAAAGATTTAGCGCCGAATCAACACCCCCCCCCCCTTGCGCCAGGGGGAGGGGGCCCGTCTTCTTTTTTTTATTTAAAAAAAGGGTTAAATCTACCTGTTTTTTGGCCAAGGGAGGGGGCCCGGGCCCCCTAGATCCAACTGGATCCAACCGAACAATGGAATCCCTACTATATCGTTATCTCAGTTTACAGCCCTTCCACACTACATGAGAAGAATTTCCGCATCACATTGGCAATCTTCCCTTTCTACAGCTTTTTAAGACTAAGTCTAAATAATTACCAAAAAAAAAAGAGTTCTGTATGCAATTGATGTATATAGCCCCCCCCCCCCAACTACTAGACCCTATAATGGATTGACAATTAACTTGATGGAACCATTTAAATCTTTACAACAAAGGTGTCAAGGGAATAGAAAAAAGAATTATCCACTTATCTCTCTCTCTTTTTTTTTTGTGCTTGCCTTTTTAAAATCCTCTGTTTTATCCCTTCTCTTCCTTATTTTTACCTTTTCATCATATCTATCTACCTGAGATCGCGAGTGCGCGAGAAGCAGCTGTGTATGCATATTGTGCATATGATGCGATGCGATGTGTACATTTTTGTGCTCTAAAAGGGTACCGTACGATCGTCGGATACGATGCCGAACCTGAGATTTTACCAAATGAATTACAGTTAATTGAAGAGATCCATCTTTATATTGGTAAAATTTACGAACGCAGACAGTTTTACGGTATGTAGGTACACTTTTTTATTTCGTAAATCGTAGCTTTATGTGTTTAATTCATGTGTATCTACCAATTTTTCGTAATTTCTGTGAATTTCACTTGGTAAGCATGACGCAAATCACAACATGCGGGACTGTACTGTAGTGTATCGTATTTGTTCTTAACCTTATTGTTCCGTATGCAGATGTACGGACCACGGAACTCTGCATACATAACCATGCTAGCAGGATCATCACTGCACTCTCCTGGCTGTTTATGACGGGCAACACTGTACTGCAGTAGCCTAAATTCACGCAATATTTTGTAAAACCTGCTGATACTTTCAAATTGATATGATAAATAATTTAATGAATCAATGTTGATTACAAATACTAGACCCCCTGCCTAACTAAGTGAAATAAAATGAAATATAGATGTCTAGGTCTAGACCTATTATGGTAAATTTATCCTTCTCTTTTCACCTGTTCACTGTTGACGTGTTGTCACAATGTCAGTTTAACTTTGTGCTTGATTATATTCCAGATTTCAATAGTTTGAGATTTTGGTTCATCCTGAGGAACATGAACATGCCTTCATTTACGATGGGGCAAACAGAAAATGAAGACTTCCCTGCTTTGGCCAGCACATCAGCCTCTCAACCTCTGAATTTTGCCCACCAGGACTTCAATCCTGGCAAGGTAGCCAGTCAGAGTCCTCACAAGCAGAGATCCCCAGGCAGAGAACAACCGGGGAGGCCGTCGACCCCTTTCCCAGAGAATGAAGTACAGTTCGTACCCACTTTCCACACCATGGCTCCTGATCATCAGCCCTTAGATGGCATTGACCTTGACAATCCTGGCAGTGTGGACGGCTCTTATTCAGCTCCTGATGCTATGGGGGCAACACCAACTTTGAACCAAGCAAACCTATGTTTTTCAGGACATTCTGGTGATGCCCTCCACCATCATCAGCCTCACCACCAACAACCTGGACCATTGTTTTTCTCTCAAGAGCAGGCGTGGCCCCCGGAGAGTCACAAGCTGTACTACAGCCAAAGCCTGGACTTGGACACTAGTAGTGCCCTGCACAGGACAAACCCCTTTGTGACAGGTCAAAGGTCAGCATCGTGTGATGCTTCGCAGGGTAGCACGACGCCTACATCACCGGTGGAGAAAGACGAGAGGATCCCCAATTCGGCGGTCAGGAGATCAAGAGTTTGGAAGTATGGTCGGAGGAGCAGCGGGAATCACAGTGACAGGCAGCCTTTCACTTTCAGCGTATCAGCTTCTCAGGCAGGGTAGGTTGTGGTTTCATAAATTTCTATTTGAAAAATATTAAATAATCTTGTTGGACGTTGGACATCTCGGAAGAAAGTAAAAATGACTGTAAAAATCTCAGATTTTTGCCATTGCAAGTTATACCCAAGTATTGCTCAACCAAATATCACATAATTGTCTTTTTGATACCTTGATGTTTTGGTAGTCATTTTGATCCCATTTTGTCTGGCATTTTTTTAATTGACTATTTTCCTGCATTTCTTTGGCTTTTCCAAATTTTTTAAAACTGCACATCACTGTTGTTCAAAACAATTTTTGAATAATTTCTATATCAGAAATTGTGAATTTTCTTGGGTCTAGAAAACAATGTATACATCTGAATGCAAACCTGTTTCGTCAGCTACTGCACCAGACATCACATTGGGATGAAATAATCTTATGCTTATTGCACGATTGACTTTGAAACTTGGTATTTGAAAATACAATTTATTCAAATGTTAGGTCCCGGCCTAACAAATATTGCACATTTAAATACTTAAAATAGACACAAAATAACAGGAAAAGTGAGTGCCTTCCAAAATTATATACTGGTACATAAACTTCTGGCTAAACAGTTTACAATGTATACAATATTTAAATTTTACTAATAAAAGTAAAATCCAGTTTAGCTTCAAATCATAAATGGAAATCAAAGATGGAGTTACACACATATTTCTGCATGTAGCTCTGGGTGTGACCCTGACTGGTCAAACCCAAGGGCCCAAATTCACAAAGGAGGTTTGTCGACAAACCTCCTTTTGTTATTTACAAACCAGGTTTGTAAAAAACGCGTCAAAATGCGTCATATGACGTACATAAACCTCGGTTTGTCGACAAACCTCCTTTGTGAATTCAGGTCAAGGTGTTTTATTTGGCAAGGCAGAGCGTGTCCTAATCATCAATTAAAGCTCATTTACATGTTTTTTTTAAAGCCTCCAATACTTCCCTTTATTGAGATACCTTTGCTTTCAACTGATATATGTGTAAGTAGCAACATTCAAGCAATATTTAAATGTATGTGACATAATTTTTCTCATCTAATGGGATATCAAATTAAGGTAAAAAGTAATGTATAGGGCCATACATACTTACATGGCAATATTTACACTAAAGTTCATTGCAAATTACAAATGGAGTATTAACATTTCTCACATGCATATTTTCCTTTATTTACATGTTTCATTCCAATGTTCTTTTCACTTCCATTACTAATGTGTTAATTTCATTTAAGATTTTTGTTTTAGGTTGTTTTATAACTGTTATTCCATGTTGTATGATTACTTTATCAAGTTCATACAGGAAATATCTTTTTCATATGCAGCTGCTTTTTTGTGGAACAAGTTGCCTGAACAACTAGAATGTATAGGATCCTAAAAAAGCTTTATCAATTCTTTGAAGAGATGTACTCTTCACCACTTCATAAATAATTTTGCTTTTCTTAAAGTGCATAGAGACATGCAATTTGCCTATGTGTTATGGGCTATATAAAAATGTTTTTTTAATGATTATTATTATTATCATTGTTTTAGCAGCGGTGCTATCGGAGGGATCGATCACAGTAGTACAAGGTTCTTTGGAAAGAGATCAATGTCCAGTACAAGACATGATGAATCGTGGTGAGTGAAAACTTCAGTCTAGTTCCTAATGATGATAATAATAATAATAATAATACAGCATTTGTAATTCGCCATTGATCTAGTAAACTATTCTGAGGCGCAGAGGGATAGAATTAGAGTTACATAGAGAAATGAGGAGGAAAAAAATGAATATGTACACTGTACATTCAACATAAAATTAATTAAAATAACATGCAAACATATATGACTTTAGATTCCTTTTAAATGTTTCTAGGGATAATGAACAAACAAACACAGTTGCAGCAAAATATAGCATAGTATGTCTCGCATTTATTATCTTAGAACATACTAATATCTGTAATAGATTACACTTACAGGATTTTGCTACATGCATGTGCAGATAGTATTGTCTCATGCTAACTTGCTAGGTAGTTCCATGTACAGTAGTTCTTATTTTGCTGCAGCATTTTACTGTGTTATTTGTAATGAGATTTCATCAGACTTCAGAGGAAACAGAATTGATTTGATCATTAACATTTCAATTAAAGAGCGATGTGTTTAAAGATCTGTAAATTCTGTAATTTATTATCACACCACAAGGGTGTTCTCAGAATTTTTGCTAGATTCCGACTTTCAGAAATCTATTTCTTAGTTTAGAAACTGATATCAACCAGGCCTGCAAGGCTTGTTCGATAAGACGTCAAAACTTTGCACTCATTTCAGATCTTGACTTTGCTTTTGTTACCAATATATATTTTCTTGCATTGACATTATAAATTGAAGCTTTTTCAGTAAGACTGACAACTGAACTAATGCTTATTTTGATATTTTCCCAGCACTTGTGATATTTCAGACTATGTGTACACTTTTGTGTATGTTCTTCCTGTCTTGCCAATCAACCAATAATTGATATCCGGGATGCCATTTTTCAGGCTTTTGTCTGAAATCACCTCTTTGTTTCATGCTATTTCAGGCTTCATAGTGTACAGAATGTATGGGGCTACGACATGTCATGGTCTCTTCTTCTTCTTCTTCTTCCAGTATAGTACAGTCCGCCGTTGGCGTATTATCGTACCTTGTGTTTGTCAAGTGCCGAGTGTATCAGGCTAATTGCATACATTAATTGTTGCTAGGTGGGACAAACATGGCTTGTCCTACCTAACGACACTGAATGTATGCAATTCACATTCTGAATATTCAAATACAATTATTTGTAACGGATGAATGAAATAATTTATAACAAGGCACTTAACAAAGATTTGTGCATCAACATGATGAAAATAACATATTGAGTAAAAGCAACCAGTATCCCTGAATTACAATTATGATCAAATCTTGTGTATCCCTTTTTCTTAGGTCTTATGAGCCTACGACAAAACAGTTCATCAGCGAGGAACGCATGACGGCCGAGATGCACAACCTCAGTCTGGATGGTGTCGCCCGGCAACCCATGATTCCTCCTCCTTCGTCATCGACCCCCTCGTCGCCTTCGCTCTCATCCTCGAACCTCTCTTCCGCCGCTCCCAGCATGAACCTCCCTTCAACCAGTGGACAGTGTAACCATGGCAGCTCCTCTTCTAACCTCCTGAGGCATCACAGGTGTCATCACAATCATCGGTCGAGAACTTATGCTGAAGCTGTGCTTGCCGATATCGAAAGAAGGTAGGCTGTCCTTGCATGTTGAGCTTGCTGTTTGAGAGGAATAATGCCAGCCTGAATAATGCGTTGACCTTGAGCTGGGCGTAATGATGATAATGATAATGATAAGGAGTTTTGTTTATGCAGAGTAACCCCAGTAATTGATACCGTAATTACATTACTCTTTTGCATGTCTACCATGATTTGATAAGGTGCATGAGCATTCAAGGAATTTCTCCACCTCATTTTGAGCTCTGCACCTGTACCTTCTAGGGGGTGTTTCACAAAGACTAAGATTGACTTTAAGTTGGACTTAACTATGGCAGGCCATTCATGCCACTGGTTGATGTCACCAATGGTCTCTCAATTATGATCTTTAGATAATATTTATTCCTTCATTAATGAATTATCAAAAAATGTAATTCTGTAGATTTGTGACCATGATTTGTACGTCTCTTGAGAGACCAATGCCAGTAAATGATGAAAGCAAACAATGGCATGAACGGCCTGTCATAGTTAAGTCCAACTTAAAGTCGATCTTAGTCTTTGTGAAACACCCCCCTGGACAGCCCATCTTGTATGTCTATGATTATATTGTACCCACTAACCCATTATTAAACTTTACTCAGTGGCTGCCGGGCTCACGATCAATTGGGCAAAAAGAATTTCCGTTTCGGTTTAATAAAATTTGGAGTGGACTATTAGGCTATTATTATTATTATTATTATTATTATTATTACTTCTTATCTCAGACTGGACAATGATTCCGACGATGAGGGAGTAGAAGAAGACATGCCCCCAAACCAGGGGGATGGTCATCGGCTGGAGATGACCCCTCAATTGGTAACTGCTCTCAAGTGCAAAGGAGCTTCCAGTCACATGCTCCCGCAAGACATAGTCAAGAAAATGTAAGTTTTCCTTGTTTACAATTAACAGAGTTCAGGAAGATGTGTAGAAGTATGTGATGTGTTGTATGAAGGGTATGCCACGTACATATCGTCTGTTTGGAGCAAGAAGGGCATTAACTCATGCTTTAACACAGAGTTAATGCCCTTGCAGCCCCAAACATGCTTCTCTTCTCTTAAAGTCATTTAAAGAAGTATTATGATTTGAATTGACAGGCATGTGCAATTTACATGTATTTCACCCCTTTTCCTTGCCACAGAGTTTCATCTCCTTGCATGGATCTTGTGTTATGGAGACCGCTGTCCGTCCTCAATCCGAGGTTAGGCCCGGACCCGTCCTTGACGGGCCCGTTGTCCCCCTCGTCGTCCGGGGGCTCGGAGCTGGCGCCCATCATGGAGGTAGAGGTGGAGAGGGAGAGGGCGGAAGCAAGCAGCATGATGCAGCAGCAACCCCACCCTTACCAGGGGATTCCCCCGGCTGCAGGTGACATCATGCAGGAGGAGGCGTTACCAGACTTTGACGAGGATATGGATCTGTGAAATTTCCTCGTCAATGAATTCACCCGTGCAATTTGCCCATAAAACGTCTGACAACTATTTCCTCATTTTGCCCATATATTTATTTTCATTGAAAGCAGTCGCACAAAGAAGAACGATAGATTTGCGTGTATGCTGTGGTTCTAGTAATAGTTGCAAGTTTGACCTTTTCCACCAATTTTCCTTGATTATTGTTCAAGGTAAAATATTTACAAGTAACCAAGCACTTTTAGTGCTAGTCCCGTAAATGTGTATTTCCTAAATCATAGATATAAGTATTCCACTGAAACCTGTTACCTTAAGAATGGTACAGACTTTTTAATGACCCACTTTTATTTCCTTTTAATCAGATATTCATTTTCAGCAAAAACACAAAGAAGAATGTTGAAGCTTTGGTAATACAGTTGCTTATAATTCAGAAGTACATCAAGAAGAAAATATGTAGGTAGTAACAGCCAATGTGTTAATTACGTCAATGTTCGCTTTGCATTTTAGAAACAGTAATAGGAGGTATTCCATTGTTTGAACATTCTTCCGACCAGAAAATAAATAGCATGAATACCGGTACCAAAGTTTCTCATGAAGTTCTTTTGCTGTGAGTATAAATACACAGTTTGTAATAGCCATGTAACTTTTCCACTTGGGAATCATCATTCGTGCAGCGTTAATTTTTTTTTTTCACTAAGAGTTTGTTTAGTCTTGCAGTCTTACTGCTAGCATGCATTACTGGTATGTGAGATACAAATTAAGATTTGAAATTTCTTTGAATCCATTGTTGCAATATTTGATATATTAAAGATAAGCTGTTACTGGTACTCTTTTTTGAAATTATAAGAAAAACAATTAAAGATCGTGATGAGCATTTTCATCAGAATGGTTTAGGTAATTAAAAATGAGTTCTATGACACATCCAAATAGTATTTACCCATGCGACAGTTTTGGTTACTGGCACTACTGGGGATGAAGACAAATGACTTGCCTCACCTGGCTCAGAGATGCCACTGGCGTAAAGCCAATCGTTATCTCCTATTGCCAGCAGAAAGAGGAACCCGTTCTGATACGCATTGTCAGATTCTGACAACCACGCTTTATGGACTAGGTCTGTATGGACAGTTTCGGCGTCCAAGTCCAGAACCTTCATCAGACGTGTACTGTTCTGACAGACTGAATCTAGCTGCCGGTTATCTGATCGTCAAAGGTTGCCATTTTGGCGATCACCCAATGCCAGACGATTGGTATGCACTGTCTCTGTTCATTATGTTGTTTGGTATGTAGTATTGTAAAAACTGGAAACTCTAGAGTGCCTCAATGAAATGTTCACAATTGACAAAGAAATTCACTAAATTGTTGCCACTCACAATGGTTTCTGGCTCTTTATTAGTTCAGATTAAATATCTGTCTTTTAGAAAGAACTTAAGAAGGGACTTCATGGAATATTGTTAGTCATTATCATCCAACTGCCACTAATCACAGAAATGGTTCGCATTTTGGCTCAATAATTATTCTGTAAGAATTTTTAATTCAATTTTGAGTGACCTGTAAAACAGGGTTTATATAATGATAAACATGTAGTTATCATGAATTTAAAGGTTTTGCTTCATTTATTACTAGTTCAAGAACTACCCATACAAGTTCCCAGTTAGAGAAATATTCACATGGACTCTAAATGTTTCGCATGAAAATTAAAACACTTTAAGATAGCCAATTGATATTGCAGTTGATCTAAATAAAAGAGAGTTTTCTTGTGCATAATTGTAATTAAGGGCTGCATTATGTTACATATCATGTTTTTGTAAGTGCCATTATTTTTTTGCCATGAATTGAGTTATCCATCCTAAATTTTGTCTATGTTAAATGCTACCTACTTGGCCTAATGACATCACATCTGTCTATAGAGTCTTGCACAATCATGTTCATTTGTTGCACATTTAAAATTGAGCTCAATTGAATTCTTTCAGTAACAACAATTTTGAATGTAAAGTTTCATTATTGAATTTGATTTAATATTCTTACACACGTGTTGACTACAAGGTTTTAAAAAGCTGCTGATATTCATCTTGTAATGATTGTAAAACCTGCTGCAAATTCTTTGCCAACTACAAAAAGTGCATGTTCGTGTATACCAAGAAGCTTAGAAGCCCAAATGTATGTGTTGTATTGTATTTTGTCAAATGAGTAGCGAGGACAGAATAATTTAGACTGATTTTTGAGGGAGAGATATATCGTATTCATTTCCACACATGTATGCAATGAATGGTCAGGAAATTTGAGTAAACCTGTTTAATAGGATTTGAGTTTGGTGTTATACTGCATTACACCAAAAATCAAATCCTGTTAATGATATACACTAGAGTTCAAACGTTTGTACATGTTCATTGGTGTGATATTCAGATCAGTAAAAAGTGATTGATGTAAAAGAATCAAACGCTGAAAAACATTCATATTTAATTTTTACGGTGCTAAAGAGGCACGGCATAAAACTGAAAATGGTTTTCTAAACAAACTTTCATTAAAGTGCCCTCTTGTATTTTAGTCTTTGTTATTGCAAGAGATTAATAGTAGGTCAAGAAGTAAATAGCGTATTTTGAGTGGTCCTTCAGTAAATTTTCAGGTGCATTTGTGTATTCATTTTGATGTATACTTCTTTCCCCCGAGAATTAAACGTTGTTGTACATTCTTAAAGTGACTGAAATAATGATGGTTGGAAACCTTGTATCCGTTGACAATTAATTATGCTAATACAAATTTGGAATGAAAGCAAATGAATTTGAATAAAAAGAAAAAATAATCTCCTTAATTTTGTCTGTTTAGAGCCAGAACGGCATTAACTCAAATATTATTATTTTCACAGACTTAATGCCCTTCTGGCTCTCAACAGAGGATTTATCTTCTGATGCTAAAGTGCCAGTTTGATTCTGTTTATTTGCTATTTCAATAGTTTTGTGGAAATCCTTCCAACTTATGTCGTCTTGGCTGTTATGAGAAGGTTAAGTGACATTGTTGTCATATATCTGATGTGCATGATTATAGCAGAAAGAAGGAATTCATATCGACGTCCAACTAGGAAAAACAATTCTGTGTTTAGACTGTAATTGGACGGGGATAGAGATTGGGGATTTCCCCACACTCTTGTAGATTTATTATGATAGTGTACAGTATTTTTGTTGTCATGAAATGACTCTCTGTTTGTATTTTGGTAATAAAATAAATGTTTAATGTGAAAGAAGTATTTTGTGAGGGTCCATTCTGTGAAAAGTCAATGCGTGAACATAAAACTGGATAATTTGTCATTTGGTCAGATAATGCCAGGTTGTTTAACACCCTTTTTTTTTTTCTTATTGTATTTTTTGACATCCATGTGGTACAATTCCCACTCTTCTAATAAGAATTTGCTAGCAACAGCTTAGTCTTAATCTGGCTACAGTCCACGAGACAAAGAGACCGACAGCCTACAATACTGACAATGCTGGTCTAGTGAACCTTCCGAAAAGATTTCAGAAGGCCCACAAGACTGACAAACCGCAATACCAGCATGTTGGACTTGCAGACCTTTTGAAGATTCAAGGATTCACCAGACCGATATTGTAGATTATGTGGGCTGTTATATACTGGGATATCTTGCATGATCCTTCGTTGTAGAACCTGGTCATTGGTAATAAGCCTTAATAATGGAAAAATTATGGAAATTGGAAAAAAATTATGATCAAACCCCATGGATATTCAATCAAGTTATATTACTTGGTTGAGAAAAGTTCCAAAAGACCAGCTGGATAGTAATCCAAGAAATGGGACAAGCTTGATACTTGATAGATCTGTGTTAGGCCAAGAGGCAATCAAGTAATGAACCTAGAAATAGTAGTTTGAAAGTCAAATTGTCAATTTGAGGAAACGCCTTAAGCGCATTGCAAGCAGAAAAGTCAGACAAGCAGATTGTTGACAATTTATGAATTCAGACAAATGATATAAAGTAACCAATTTTTGAAAGTTGTAATCACTTTACATACAGAAATTCAAACTGGTCGAATCGATGTCACTGTCATTCAGTTTCCTAATTTACATACTGTACAATGATCTCGACACGATCATCAGTTCATTTCTTATTTTGCCTGATTCTTGTAAAAATATCACCAACCCATCTGTCTAATTTTTATCCTTTTACCCATTCCAACCAACTTGTCATGAAGGTTGCATTCTCAGTATATCATACATCAAGAATTCATCTCCACTGGGCACTACTGAGAAAAGAAGCAAACAAAAAATATACACAGTGTCACATTATAAAACAACAGTTTATTTACAACATTAAATATGTAGGAATTGTGTTACTAGGTATCTTACACACACCAATAAACATAAAAAGGCACATTATGGAACACATTTTCGCATTTTGTGAGTTTTAACTTTCAAAGTCATTTTTTCTTCTTCTGTCAACTGTTTAAATCTACCAATCTGCTAATTTCTCTAAGCGATGAGGCTGTCAACTATTGTTGCCCCCATTCCATTCCATGTAGATGTTCCAAAAATGCACTTTCACCTACATGTACTCTGATAATCACCTTTCATACAACAGGGATACCAGTTCGTCTTAGCCTACAAACAAATATCATACATATTGAGCCCCATAACTTCTGCAAAATGGAGAAGAAGAAAAAAGCACAAAAGTGCCTGAAATAGAGAGATGTGAGGTCAGAATTGTAAAACAATAAAACAATATTGTCAACCGTGCGGGTACTCGAGCATTCGACTACACGTCGCAGCTCTAACCGGTATACACCTTTACAAATCCCCCATCAAGATTTGTGATTTTGGTTATTCTATTTTTTGCCCAGCAAATATTATTATTTCAGCTACAATATTTTACCTTATGAAATACTTAGGGTAGGGAAAACTCTAAGCCCAAGCGCACTACAAATATCCCAAAATAATAAACTTCATGTCCTTGTTTCATTTGATGTATTTACAATACATCAAGTTCTTGTTTTAAACGTAAAGTGTAGACTCCAAGCTAATCTACAGTTCTGTCCACAACGTTGTTGTATTATGTCTGTTTTACAAGATGAACAGAAGAATGCCTCAAGCCCTTAAGTTCTTGTGTTGTGATGGAAGTTCACTGATATTCGCCTTTGCTACCGGGCTTTGCTAGCAACACTTGCAACACTTGCGACACTTGCGACAATTGTTCAACTCCTGGACAATTCCTCTTCGCCATCAAGTTCTTGTGTTACTCAACATCTTCATTGGCATACACTGTAGACCTTCCACTGGCATCGATTTGAAGACTTGTTGCACTCCTGAATAAAATACATAGAACTTCTTGACTCGTGTCCACAAACTACTTTTAGTATTCGCATCAAATCCTTACTTTACTTCAAGTGTTTGCATCAAGTTCTTGTGTTACTTGAAGTCTTCCCTGATCTGGACCTTCCGCTGGAATCGCTCTGAAGACTCGTCGTACTCCTGGACCCTCCCTTTGATCGACCGGACGTACTTGACCCTCCACTCACGGCCGAGTGAGACGCTGACCGCTTGACCAAGCTGTGACCAGGGTATGTACCTGTTCCTGTTCCAGGGATGTCTGAGCTGGAAGCAGAGGATCGAGTTGTCATTGAGGGGGTTGGGGTGGGATCCAGTCCCTTAGGGTTGACCATAGCCTTCAGCATCTGTGTGATGGCGATGGGCGAGACGTTCATCTTCAGAAGATTCATGATGATCCTGGGGTAGTGGGGTGGAAGCAGAAGTTCATATAGAAGTTAGATTTTCTATCGAATCTCTTGCTTTTCAAAAGTTACAGGAGAAATGAATTGAAGAACTGAAGTGGAAGGGTCTGCTAGCTATTTATAAGGACCGCTATTTATAAAGACCGCTATTTATTTAATCACGCGTTATGGATAGCAGTCCTTATGAATAGCTAGGTAAAATTGTCTATGGTTTACTCGCTATTTAAAAGGGCCACTATTCATTAAAGGGCCGCTATTCATTAAAGGATCGCTATTCATATTTCATGCATTAGTGATAGCGATCCTTATAAATAGCGGTCCTTATGAATCGCGAGCTTGACCCACTGGAAGCATCCCTGTTATAAATATAAATAAAGGACAAACATTATGCTATTTGATGCTTATACATGTAGGCCTATTTTTTGGGTAAAATCCAAAGTCACTGGCAAACCTCACAGCTTTATTTTTTGTTAAGTAAGGAGACACAAACCCCCCGTCTTCCCTGTCTTGTTGCCTATTGCATATGCATGTATGCTTTGGTTTGACAATATTTGGGTATGATAAGTTGCACTTTTCTTTTCTTGAGCAAGGGAACTTAAATCAAAGATTTCTGTTCCTTACCTATACACAGCAGGACTCATCTCTACCCCTGCCAAGCAACATAGCTCGAACAACTCCTGCTCGTCCTTGTTCAGGGCATCCTTGGCTCTCTTCCCTGCTATGGAATACTTGTAAGACTGGCCACTGCGGTGAGACGTCATCTTTGTTGAACCCCTTGTTGTCTTGTTGGACTGAGAGTCTGCCGAGTAGAAAATTGGAAATAAAAAAAGGTTGACAATATTTCATTTCTATTTGATTCCTTCAATTATGAGGGTGTTCTACTGTGATGCTGAAACAAGAAGTAGATCCTATGCCAAAAATTGACAATGAGACAAAAACGGAAGCCCTTTCATTTCACCTACATTTATGAATTTAACTGGTCCTATGAATAGGGGTACTGGTACGTGATCGCGACGGCTACGATGCGGGGAGTGCAGTGCAGCGGTACGGTACCTAGTACCTAGGTAGTGGTACTGGTAGAATAGCTAGGGCGGGAGCTCGGAGGCGGGATCGTAGCGCGCTAGTGCACATTCAGTGCATTTAGTCTAGAAAAAAACCCATCGGATCCGGGCCAACTCGGCACTTGAACCAACTCGGAATAAGCAGAAACTCGTAGCCGAGTTAGCAAGACATAATAAGAAGTGATGATGTTTGCATTAATTACGTGTTTAGAAAGTACTTTTAAAATTATTTGATAGGAAGGAGTATACTGGATAGTTACGAGATACTACTGAATATTTTTAGGGAAATAACCTGATATTTCTAAATTTTTCTATCATATTTTATCTCCGTATCAAGTATTAAACTCGGCCACTGAAAAGTGCTATTGGCCGAATGTTTACAGGGGTGAATTGTCAGGCACCAATCATATGCCGATATATGTGGGATCGCGTACATCACTAATGTGGACGTGTCTTGCAACTTGAAGAATAAGCTACATTGAAGTGAATCAGACCGAATTTGCCCATTAAATGCTTGAAACCAAGCAGTATGGCAGAAGCTAAAGCTCCTGAGAACTTCCAGGGATGGTTGTACAAATGGACAAATTACATCAAAGGCTATCAGAGACGATGGTTTGTGCTGTCGAACGAACTCCTCTCTTATTACAGGTTTGTCATTCATGATGTCATTGTCATTGAAAAAAAATAAAGAATACAATTTGTGACTTAAAATATAACCTTGTTTTGTAGTTGTATTGTTTTAACTTCACTGTCTCTGAATCCTGTCAAGTTTGATCCTAATAACACCTTACTTGTAAAAGAATTCTAAATAATTTGTATTTATTTTAAGTGTGCTTGTATTTGTAAAGTATTTTTATTGAGTCGAGCTCGAGAACCTTTTTTTTAGAAGGAAGAATAAACCGGGGAGTAAACCTTCCAGAAATTTCACATGTCTCGTCTACGGTCTAGCCTAGGTTTAGATTATAGATCTATGATTTAAAATAAGGATGGTCACGTTGCCTGACAAAAATAATTGTCAACCTCACACATGTGATATGAAGAAATTTAATAACGATGTAATAAGTTGGAAGATAACATTTGGGTAGGTTTTACCAATCAAATTGTCAATTAATTAATATTAGTCTATGCAATATGAATTAACTCGCAATCATTGCGAAAATTATGTCTAGGCATCTATTGCAAATTGTCACTAAGTACATGGGACTGAAACAAGGAGTGTTTAACGTTACTCAGATTTGGTTTGGAAGGGGGGTGTCCTGCTCAAGCCTCGAAACCCCTAACCATTTTCAAGGGTCATTTGGGGGCATTTTTCTCGAAATAAGGCCCATTTTTCACAATTCTTAAAAAACTGACCCATTTTTAATGGTATTTTTGTTAAAAATGGGATTCATGTTTAGGGATTTTTTGTGAAAAAGTGACCCACTAGAGCGGTACACCCCTGTATGTCTTAATACGTGAGAACCCCCCCCCCCCCCCCCCCCCCCCCCGAATCAGTTTTGTTCTTGAGATGGGTACCCCCGGATATTTTCATTTGATAGTTTATAAAAATACACCCTTATATTCTTCTTAATAAAAATACAATGTTTTGAAAGTTTTGTCCATTGTTTTAGACATCAGTACAATATTCAAATGACAAAACTTAGACATTCCAAACTTTAAAACTCATGTTTTAAAATATTTATTTTACACATTTGAAGATAGAATTTAACTCGAAAGCAATATGGGTCTGAAACTAGAGAATACACTTCTAACTATGGGTTGCCTGTCGTGGCAGATTACCCATCCTATCAGGGATTTTACAATGTGGAAATAAACACATATAATCAGTTCAGTTAAATGGGAAAAGCCTTATAACCATTAGATATGACGGTGTCAGAGGCGTCACAACTACTTAATAGTCAGGATGTTGTCGTTGATCTTGGCAAAGAGGGCTTCGTGAAACAAGTAGCGGACAAGTTGTTCACTAACGCTGATTTAGTAAATAAGTTAGACTTATAACGGTTTTTAAGAACGGGCCCCAGGGTCCTGAAGTGTGCCCTTGTCCCTGGCTGAAAGGGACTTACCGTAATTATCTTCTTCTGTGTTTGTTTTCATTTGGCAATTAGTCAGAATTGACTATATTTGCCATAAAATATTCCTGATATAACACCCTTTTAAAAATGTTATATCGGAAGACTTTGATCTGGTCTCATCTCCAGTCAGTTGCACTCGTACATGTAGGTTGTTTTGGACTACCAGTAGATGTAAACAGAAGGTGAATGCACATACATGTACCGGTACTTACAGTGCTACAGCCTACACATATGTACACAATATTATATGTATGTTGGGGTGTTGTGTGTCTGGATGCTTAGCAAACGTTAAGCTTTCATGTTTGCCATATTATTTTTCTAATTTTTAAAAAAAAATTTAAATTTCATATAAACATAATTTCGAATGCCAGTAGGATGTATTATGATAATGTTCACGTATGTGATAACTGATAATACATGAATTTAAAACACGCACAAATCATATCCAAAACTTTCGATCAAAATTTCTACTTTGGTGTGTCAGGTACCAACTTCTCCAAATTGTTGTACCGGTAAGTCTAAGTTCTTGGACAATGGACATCTCATAATAGCGCATTTTTGAAAAGGATATCCAGGAATTGGGACACACAATTACTGTACATGTGTGATAATGGTTTTAAGAAACTTGCTTGTGATGCTGGCATGAAAACATGAATATTTAAATTCTTTCGGATGATTTTTTTTTCTCCTTCGCGATCGTACAGAAACCAGACAGAGATGTCCCACACATGCAGGGGTACCATCAATCTGGCCGGAGCCTACATTGATACCGAGGACTCGTGTAACTTTGTGATTTCCAGTGGGGCGCAGACGTTTCATCTGAAGGCGAGCTCCGAGGTGGAACGCCAGCGATGGGTCACTGCCCTGGAACTGGCCAAGGCCAAGGCCATACAGATGATGGAGGAGGATTCTGGTAAGTCGCTGTCATGTTCGCACTGCACTATCGCAGTTTTCTAAAACTAATAGCGAAGCCTGGAAGCTTTAAAGCCCCACTGTCCTACTTGTAGCTACTTGCTCCCTCTATATAATATAGAAAACAATGCCTAATCGGTGACCATTGGTCCCCCATGATCCTCTTTTTCTTATGTTAATTGAGAGCTGACTTGTTGAGATAGCCACCTGTCATTGACCTTGCTGGTGTGGTCTAATCCCTCCCGGCCAAACTAGTACAGCCAGCCTTTAAACGATGACCCGCTAACAACAATATGGGTTCACATGGCACTGAAACAACTTGTGTTCTCTAAGTTTTTTGAACTGCAAGCTGAGTATAAAGCAGTAGTTGCAGATACAAGCTGGCAAAACCTCAGAGTCAATTGTATCTCCACAGCACATTCAGTGTAACTTCAAGTGAGGACCTCTGTGGCTCATAGTTTCTTGGGCCAACCATAAGATTGCTTGTGGTTTAAAAACTTGAGTAAAGCGTAAGTTTCCAAAATCACAAGTGCGTTCACACAGTCTGTAACTATTAAATAACCTCAAAGACAGTTTAAAACCATGAGCTGAACTTTAAGTTCATAACCTGTCATGTGAACCTACCTATCGAAACTGAGGTACTGTGAAACTAGGACTTCTGTGTGTATGAAACATGCATGAACTTCTGGGGTGGTTTGGGTTCACAAAAGCGTCACGTCTTGAAGTACATCTGAAAAAATCGGCAGAATTTTTTTTTCTTATTTTTGTTCTTCAAAATGCTGAACATTTTCACGTTTTGGGCTATCAATCTACAGATTTTTTTCTGATCATTTTTTTTGATCGGCGACTGGAAATTATTATCCGATCTCACCTGATCGGCTCAAGATCGGCTCCTGATCCGATGATAGTTGACAGGCCTACCCTGCTCCAGCATTTTTTGTACATGTACATGTTGTACACCTGTACATGTATGCTCTGTTGAATAGAGAACCTACCAAAACTGATCATAACCTTTACATTTAAAGATAAAGACCAGTTATGGTCATGTGATTGCATCGTGAAAGAAACGTTGTGGAATCAATCAGAAAAGGTTGATCATCTGGCATAAAGTATTGGTGTGTACTGCAAGGTTCTGGAATCATCAAAATGATAAGAAATTTGGCCCAGTCTTCGTAAAGTTACAAGCACTGTACACAGAAAGATGTATATGGGACCGTGCGTGACACGTGCCTACACGTGCGTTTATCTCTCACAGTCCAATAGATAAACTAATTTACCAAATATATCAATTAGTAGGCGGTTTCCCGGCAAAATTTTTATCATCAAGTAGTCAAAACATATTCTGTCACATGATTGGTAATAAAGAGCTTCCATTTTATTGTTTGAGAGGGGGGCGTTTCCAAAACTGGCCTTTACCTTTAAGTTCACTCAACAATCGTGTACGTGTCTTGCTAATGGAGCAATTACTGGAATCAGATTCATTCAACCTTGCAAATTGTATGGATCTCTCCGTGTGAACTCTGTGAAATTGGTCTGCAGACTGAAGGATATGAAAGTTTGATAACCTCGCTCAGGAAAGATAACAATTGTTGTGATCAGGAAGGGATTTGTGTAGGCTAAATCCTTAGAATTTTATCATTGTTCCTGTGACTGGACAGATGGTGCACTTCTACTTTACCCGTACATGTAGCTGTGATTTCCATTTACTAAGTATTTAACTTCTGGATACTCATCGGTGCTAAACGTTGTGCTAAACTTTGTTAGAGGTTTTTGAGCATTTTATACTGGTGAGTTTTAATTATCGAATTCTATAATCACTTTCATGCATGTTCAGTATGTAATACCCGAGTCAAACTAGAAACTGATAGATTTTCTATCGTAGTTGTTATTTAAATGTAAAAGTGTGTTTGTCTGTCGTCGGTCTGGTTTCAGTTTGGTATGACTTGAATAACATGAGTGTTTGTACCATTGTTCTATCCTACATACACACTGGAAAATTATAGTTAAAAGAATCAAATATAGTCAGAATTATTAAATAAGCAATTCTAATTTATAAAAAAACAACTTACATGTATATCCTTGTTTTCTTGACATTATGAAAGTTACTGTTGACAACAAATTCAAATTCAAAAAATAATAATCAGCAAATGCATGCAATTTCTGTTAGCAAACAGATGATGAGGTGTTTGAAAAAGTTGAAGGAAAAGTCAATTCTGTTACTGACACTGATAGCTAAAAAGAGATGCAAATTCATTGAAAAGGGTGTGTACAATGTACACTAGATATGCATGAGCAGAGGTCACAGTGTGTCACAATGACAACGGTTATCTGATACGTGTGTATCCCTCTCAATCAGTCATCCTAAATAAAGACAATTGAACCATGTTCTGCATACCATAACCATGAATTTGACATTTCTTTGTGATAAATAATTAGTTCATGTCTCATTTTACACTCGTTCACAATGACCCAATTTGTATTGCATTGTACACATTCAGGATAATTAATCACATTTTAACAAAAGAAATGTGCTTTCAACATTTTGTGACCGCATGCATTGTAATTCAAGTACAAGTATCAATCATATCATGGTTTTGAATGTGCAGTTTTGTACACAACACCAAAAGGGAATTGATAGTTTTGTACATTTTTAAAAACTTGTTATTCAAGTACCTGTAAGTCATTGTAATCATTCATTGCTACACCTGTAGCCACACTGGGCAGAATTTGTGAATTGGGTGTACAGATATGTATATGTTGTATTATATTGAAAGTCAATATCATAAAGTAGAGAATCTGTTTATTAACTCAGTACCATGACGATGGCTACCAATAGGAAATTAAAATCACCTCAACAAAAGGCAATGAAACAGGAAAAGTGGGAGGATACGGTAGACCAAATAGGCATGTCATTTCCTGTTCATGCAAGCCGCAAAAACAAGCAATCTGCCAAACAGGGCATTAACAGATAAAAGCAATCTGCTAAAAGGACATTAAAAAGTTGTTTAGGTCAGCCTGTCTGGAAATGTAGTATTCGGTGCAATGTTGTCTACCGTAATTGAATGCGCATACATTCATACACATGCAACACACATGCATGCATGTCTGGTGTAGCTGAACAGCTGGCCATGGCACTCTCAAACTGAACTGAATGGGAAGGCAAAACATACATCAGTATAAATTCAAACCTGTCTATAAAGGCCACACAAGAGAAACAGGAAAACTGGCCACCGTAGACGGGTGGCCTTTCTAGACAGGTTCTACAATACAAGTTTCTTCCTTCAAATGTACATGTAGCAGCATACAATATGGGTGACCAATATAGACAGTGGGCATTTACAGAAAGGTTGCCACTAAGACAGGTTTAACTGTAATATAAATAAATGCTATTTTCGCTTTTGTTATCTCTCTGCTCTCTGGCAGTTTTCTAACTGATTTTCAATAATATGTAGATCTTTTCTGTGCAGCGTAATTATCGAAGTACATGTACACTGTATTAGGATTGAAAACTAGAACCAGTGTTTATGGTTCAATACAGTCTAGTAGTACTACAGTATAGCCAATACATTTCATGTCTACTTGTCCGATTGTACATGTGCATTTATTAATTTAAATTTGATTGGTTTAGGTAAATTATTGTGTGACGGAGTCGTTTCATAAATTTTACGGTTTTTACCACAGTATACATGAAAGTTAAAGCCTGGATTAAATCCCCTTTACATTATATACTGTACGTGTTGCACATGTCATGTTCATGCAGGGAATAATTTTCCTGGTATCGCATCGCAATTTGCTATGCATTTTTGCATGACTGCTATACAAAATATTGTTTGTGTAGCAGTTTTCTTCCATAGAAATGTACAGAATTTCATTTGAAATATTTATCCATCAGCTGAAATTGCTAATCTAAATATTTGAGGAAAATTATTCCCTGTCATGTCATGTACAGTACCGGTATGTATGCAAATCATCTCATATTTAAATCATAATGCAATTCAAAGATAAATTTTGTATTTTATATTTATTTATTTATTTGGTATTTATTTTTAGTAAGTGAAGGGAAAAAAAAGTCTTGTTGGATTTGAAATGCACTACATGTACCATGTAGGTACACTGTACATGTAAATCTGTAGCTTGCATGGAAAGATATGCTAATTTGTGATTGCATTTTAAGTGCAAAATAGTCTGCAGGCACAGGCTCTACTTTGACACTTGAATATTATTCCGCATTAAAGCCTTGAGCAGACCCTACAGTAGTTTCCCTAGTTTTTTTGGCTATCGGGAGCATCTATAGTACATAGCCTATAATGTTCGGTAGACAGTACAGTCTTCATACATATTCTTGCATACTGTTGTTCTGACTCTTGAGTCTGACAGTCCACTTTACAACTGACAAGGGATTTGCCCCAGTAAATTATCTTGACAACTAGACTAGATTTGAACTCTGCGATGCACAGGAGAGGGCTCTGCTTATTTTCTGTCGGTCTGTCAATGTTTAAAGAAAACAAACAGTTCATCTCCCATGACCAATCCTTCCTGAATGGTTTGAGCAGCGTTCAATGATTCAAAATCACTTTAGGCCCGTCTTCACTATCTCGAGATTGCCAAATATCCAGCTATTTGAACTATCCCGATCGCAAACTATCCAGCTATTTGCGTCTTCATTAGAACGAAGTAGCAAATTAGCTGGATAGTTGGTCGGGATAATATCCCAAGATATCTCGGTCTAGTTTGCAAAATATCCCACTATTTCCGAACTAGCGGGATAGTTTGCGACCGTCTTCATTAGACCGATCCGGAGTCAAATATCCCGATCCCATCATGCACAACGATTTCCGGTTCGCACATGCGATCTATACCACTCAGCGCGCTAGTACAACCACTGACCTCGAGTAAGCATGGAAAACCGCAAACTAGACTGAGATATCTTGGGATATTATCCCGACCAACTATCCAGCTAATTTGCTACTTCGTTCTAATGAAGACGCAAATTAGCTGGAT